TGTGGGGGCCAGGTGCCGGTGGCTCACGTCCTAGCGACTCAGGAGGCTGACATCTGAGGCTCACAGTTCAAAGCCAGCCCAGGCAGGAAACTCCATGCAACTCTTATCTCCAATAAACCACCAGAAAACTGGAAGTGGCGCTGTGGCTCAAGTGGTAGAGTGCTCACCCTTGAGCTGAAGAGCTGAGGGACAGCGCCCAGGCCCAGAGTTCAAGCCCCATGACAAAAAAAAAAAAAAAGAAGTGGTGTTGTGGCTCAAGTGGTACAGCGCTAGCCTTAAGCCCAAAGAGGCTCAGGGCCAGTGTGCAAGCCATGAGTTCAAGCCCCACAACCCAAAAAAATCAATATGGCTGGGAACATGGCTCAGGGGTAGAGTGCTTGCCAAGCATGCATGGACCCCTGGGTCAATCTCTCAGCACCACACACACAGCAAGAGCCAGAAGGGGTGCTGTGGCCCAGGTGGTAGAGTGCTAGCCTTGAGCAGAAAGGAGCTCAGTTCAGTGCCCAGGCCCTGAGTGCAAGCCCAGGACTGATTGAAAAAAAAAAAAAAAGAAAACTCTCATGGACTTTCCTGCTGGGCTAGCTTCCAACTGTGGTTCTCAGTTCTGAGATTCCCGAGGAGTTAGGACGACAGGCATGAGCCAACTGGTGCCGGGCATTGGTGGATTTCTTTTTTTTTTTTTTCTGTCGTGGGGCTGAACTCTGGGCCTGTGCTGTCCCTCAGCTCTTCAGCTCAAAGAGAGCACTCTACCACTTGAGGCACAGCGCCATTTCTGGCTTTTTCTGCTTATGTGGGGCTGAGGGATTGAACCCAGGGCCTCATGCATGCGAGGCAAGCGCTCTACCACGGAGCCACCTTCCCAGCCCCCATTGATGGATTTTGAACTAACTTCTGAATATGGGATAGGGTAGGGGCCTGGATTTGCGCGCACGTGTGTGTGTGTGTGTGTGTGTGTGTGTGTGTGTATATGTGTACATGGGTGTGTGTGGCACCGTGGAGTTAAACCCCACCCCTCCCCCATGCTAGGCACTACTTCTTGGGCAAGTTGGTCTCCAGCCACTCACAACTTCACCTGATTGCATGAGGCCTACTTTGAGGGTCTCAGTTCAAAGCCAGCCCAGGAAGAAACATCTGAGACGCTCCATCTGTAATTAATCAGAGGAGGGCTGGGCTGGACATCTGGCTGAAGGGGTAGAGTGCCCGTCATGAGCACGAAAGCTCAGGGAGCTTTTTGGTACTTGAAAAAGAAGGGCTGCCGGGGCTGGGAGGGTGGCTCAGTGGTAGAGCGCTTGCCTTGCATGCCTGAGGCCCTGGGTTCGATTCCTCAGCACCACATAAGCTAAAAGAAAAAAGCCGGAAGTGGCACTATGGCTCAAGTGTTAGAGCCTTGAGCTGAAGAGCTGAGGGACAGCACCCAGGCCCAGAGTTCAAGCCCCACGACCGGACCAAAAAAAAAAAGGATCATTTAAAAAAAAAAAAAAAGAAAAGAAAAGAAAAAGAAGGGCTGGGAAGTGGCTTGGTGGTGGAGTGTTTGCTCTGCATGCACGAGGCCCTGGGTTCGATTCCTAAACACCACATAAGCAGGAAAAACTAGAAGTGGCGCTGTGGCTCAAGTGGTAAAGTGCTCGCCTTAAGCTGAAGAGCTAAGGGACAGCACCCAGGCTGAGTTCAGGCTCCATGACTGGTGAAAAAAAAAAAAGAAAAAGAAGAAGGAAAACTGGGTGCTGGTAGCTCACGCCTGTAATCCTAGCTACTCAGGAGGCTGAGATCTAAGGATCACGGTTCAAAGCCAGCAGGAGCAGGAAAGGCCTTACCACTCTGATCTCCAATAAACCACTCAGAAAATCGGAAGTGGCGCTGTGGCTCAAGTGGTAGAGCGTTTGCCTTGAGGTGAAGAGCTGAGGGACAGCGCCCACGCCCAGAGTTCAAGCCCCATGACTGACAAAAACAAAACAAAACAAAACAAAAAAACTCCTCAGGCCAACTACTCACACCTGTAATCCCTCAGGAGGCTGAGATCTGAGGATCACGGTTCAAAGCCAGCCCGGGCAGGAAAGTTTGTGAGACTCTAATCTTCAACGAACCACCAACAAAGCCAGAAGTGGAGCTGTGGCTCACTGGTAAAGTGCCAGCCTTGATGGAGAAAGGTAGAGCTCAAGCCCTTGGGCCGGCACCGAGGGGAACTCTGCCCTGCACAAGTTTCTTGCACACATATAGCGCCCCCTACCCCCGGGAGGTCTCAGTGGCAAAGCTCCGCTGGGGCTCCCCGCCCCCTACACCTTTGACTCCAGTCCTTTGCGGGCAGCCAAGCCTGCTCTGTCATTCCCTTCGTGTGCATTTTGTTCAGTCAACTGACACTGCTCCCAGCTCTGCCTTGGTCCCAGCTTTCGTGCTCCCATTCCTGCCCTGCTGCCTGAGCCCCCACTTTGCCGGGACACCCCCACGTCGCACTGGAGAATCAGTCTGTGGTATAACAAGCAGAATGAGGTTCTGGGTCTAATTTTCAGCAACCTCAGCTCTTGCATCCTTTAAAAAAAAAAAAAAAAGAGTTAAGTTTCTTTTTTGGATCCAACGAGAAATGGTCATGTAATTTAAAAGGCATGGAGCCAAGGATGGGAAACTCTGACTTCCTCCCCCTCCTCCCAGACTGGCCCCAGCACACTCAAAGCAAGCAGGTAATCTTATCAAATCTTTATCTGGACAAAAAGTTTTGAAGGTGGGCTGGGAAGGTGGCTCAGTGCTAGAGCGCTTGCCTCGCATGCATGAGGCCCTGGGTTCGATTCCTCAGCACCACATAAGCAGAAAAAGCCAGAAGTGGCACTATGGCTCAAGTGGTAGAGTACCCGCCTTGAGCTGAAGAGCTGAGGGACAGCGCCCAGGCCCAGAGTTCAAGACCCACAACTGATACACACAACACACACACACACACATACACACACACACACACACACACACACGTTTTTGTTTTGTTTTTGGGTCCAGTTGTGGGGCCTGAACTCTAGGCCTGGGCGCTATCCCTCAGCTCTTCAGCTCAAGGCTAGCGCTTTACTACTTGAGCCACAGCGCCACTTCTGGCTGTTTTTCTTTTTGCTTATGTGGTGCTGAGGAATTGAACCCAGGGCTTCATGCATGCAAGGCAAGCGCTCTACCACTGAGCCACCTTCCCAGCCCCACGCACAAAAGTTTTGAAGTAAACTGGGCGCCGGTGGCTCACGCCGCCTGTCATCCTAGCTACTCAGGAGGCTGAGATCTGAGGATTGCAGTTCAAAGCCAGCCTGGATTCAAAAAGATGGGAGTGAAGCTGTGGTTCAAGTAGTAGAGCTCTAGCCTTGAGTGATACAGCTAAGCCACAGTGCTGGGGCCTGGAGTGTCAGCTGAAGGGCGAGGCCGCACGTGCATGCGTGTGTACGTGCGTGTGTGTGCATGTGTGCCTGTGTGTGTGTGCATGTGTGTGCGCACACACAGTCTGAAATGTATACACGGCCACCCGGAACCGTGGCAGCTCTTAGAGGAGTTTCCAGGTCTCGGCTGTCGCCCTCTGCCGTGGGCTAGCACGGCGTTCTTCACTACTAGGGGGTCAATCAGTGCCGTCTCTTGATCCTCCTTGAGGGGAGGGATTGAACCCCTAGCTCCCGCCGCCGGCCTTGGCAAGTGCTCTACCGCGCGGGGCACAGCCCCTCACCCCCAGCCCTTCTGCTTCTGTTATTATTCACTCAGGGTTTCCTGCTCCTTCCAGGGTCAGACTGGACCTCCACCTCCCCGCCTCCACCTCCCAGCCCGGCCCCCCCCTCCACCTCCCAGCACCTCCCCGCCTCCACCTCCCAGCACCTCCCCGCCTCCACCTCCCAGCCCGCCCGCCCCCCCCTCCACCTCCCACCACCTCCCCGCCTCCACCTCCCAGCACCTCCCCGCCTCCACCTCCCAGCCCGCCCGCCTCCACCTCCCAGCACCTCCCCGCCTCCACCTCCCAGCACCTCCCCGCCTCCACCTCCCAGGCTGCCCCCCTCCCCGGCTGCCCCCCCTCCCCGCCTCCACCTCCCCGCCTCCACCTCCCAGCACCTCCCCGCCTCCACCTCCCAGCACCTCCCCGCCTCCACCTCCCAGCCCGCCCCCCCCTCCCAGCCCGCCCCCTCCCCCCCTCCACCTCCCACCACCTCCCCGCCCGCCCCCCCCTCCCCGCCCGCCCAGGGCTCAGGGCGCAGCGCCCAGCCCGGGAGCCCGAGCCCATCGCCGGGCGCCGAGGCGGCTCCGTGGCGGGCGCGCGCCTCGCACGCACGAGGCCCTGGGTTCGAGTCCTCGGCAGCACAGACGCAGGGCGGGCGGCTCAGCCCACGCCCCGCAGCCATTTTACAGATGGGGAAACTGAGGCCCGCGGGGCTGGGGGCCCCACCCCCGGGTGGTGAGGGAAAGAACGAAATCCAGAGGAGGAAAAAGGGAGCAAGCAGCAGCAGCAGCAGCAGCAGCAGCAGCAGCAGCAGCAGCAGCAGCAGCAGCAGCAGCAGCAGCAGCAGCAGCAGCAGCAGCAGCAGCAGCAGCAGCAGCAGCAGCAGCAGCAGCCCGCCCCGCCGCCCCGCCCGCCGAGCCGCCCCCGCGCGCATGCGCGCCGCCTGCCACTCAGGCGTCACTAGGCAGCGGTTGGGGCGGGGCCAGCTCCTCGAGCCGCGGCGGCGGTTGGCAGCCCCGCCCCCTCGGCGCATGCGCGCGGCGGCGGCCCGTCATCCCGCTCGGCGCCGGGGCGCGGTTGGCGGCGGCTGAGGGGCGCGCGCGCGCCTGCGCCGGCGTCGTCCTCGCGCACGCGCACGGCGGCAGCGGCGGCGGCGGCGGCGGCTCGGCGGCAGCGGCGGCGGCGGCGGCGGTTCCCGGCCGGGGCTGTGCGCGGCGCGGCGGCTCGGCGGCGGCTCGGCGGCGGCGGCGGCGCCGGGGCACTCGTGGGCGGCGGGGCCCGCGCGGCGGCGGCGGCGGCGGGGCGGCCTGCGCGGCCTGCGGCCTAGGCCCGGCGGCGGCGGCGGGCTCGAGTGCGGCGCGGGCGGCGCGGGCGGCGCCTCGGCCGGCGGCATGAGCGTGGAGGCGTACGGCCCCAGCTCGCAGACGCTCACCTTCCTGGACACGGAGGAGGCCGAGCTGCTGGGCGCCGACACGCAGGGCTCCGAGTTCGAGTTCACCGACTTCACGCTCCCCAGCCAGACGCAGACGCCGCCCGGCGGCCCCGGCGGCCCGGGCGGCGGCGCGGGGGGCCCGGGCGGGCCCGGCGGCGCGGGCGCGGCGGCCGGACAGCTGGACGCGCAGGTGAGCGGCACATGGCGGCGGCGGGAGCGGCGGGAGCGGCGGGGCCCGGGCCGCCCCGCCCCGGCGCCCGCCCGGCCCTTCCGGGAGGCCGCGGCGCCCCGGGGTCCCCGGCGCTGGCCCCGCCGGTTACGTAACCCGGGCCGCCCCGGGAAGGCGGGCTCGCGTGGGTCCGGCCCCTCCGGGAGCGCCGCGCCGAGCCCCGGGCTTACGTAACCCGCGGCCCCCACCGGAAGTTGGCTGTGCGCGGCGGCCGGGGCGCGGAGCCGGCGGCCGGGGCGGCGGCAGGTGCGCACTTCCGGGCGGGCGCCCCGCACCGCGGGTCCGCGCCCGCCGCCCCGGCCCGGCCCGGCCCGCCACAGGTGTCCCCGGCCCGGCCTGCGCCCCGCCCGCACGCGCGGGCCTGCCTCGGGGACGCGCCGGGGCACCTGGGCCAACAGGTGTGCGGCGCGGGCGTCCCCGCCCCCGGCCCGCGCCCCGACCCCTCCCCTCCCCCTCCCCCTCCCGTCCCCTCCCCCCTCTCCCCTCCCCTCCCCCCGACTGTGGGGTCGGGGTGGCAGCTTCTTGTTCTTTCCCAGCCCCGGGGCAGTGTGGGCGCCCCTTTGGCCTGGCCGCACCCGCTCCCATGCTGTTCTGGCCAGGCAGAGGGTACCTCGGGGAGTGGGGTGCTGCCCACCCCGCTGTCGTCCCGGGCAGCCGGACGGAGGGACCCGGGCGGCGGTGAGGCTCCAGGCCAGGGGCGGTGGGCCGCATGCATGCGAGCTGGCACTGGGCCGGCCCCTTCCCCGCGGAGCGGCAGCCTGGGCTGCGGGGCATGAACCCTGCTCAGCTCCAGGGCCCCCAGGCAGGGCTGAGCTGGGCTTTGTTCTTAGGGAACCCCAGGGCCCCCTTGCCTGTGGCCCACCTCTGACCCCTCCTGTTTGGGGGAGGGGCACGGCCGTCCTCTGGGTCTCTGGGGGAGCAGCGAGGTGGGGCCCCCTGTCCCCTGGACACTGGCGGCCGGCCGTGTGCAGTGCTTGGGAAGGGGCTCCTGGCTGACTGTCTTCAGGAGGTGACCCCACATTGGGGTCCAGTTGGGGTTCAGCTTCCCACAGCTTTCTTGTTCCCCTCCCCTCAGGGGCCCCTTCTAAACCACACAGAGCCAGGGAGCTCACCCACTGTTGCTTAGTACGAGTCAGAGTGGTGTCACCACCCCCAGAATCATTCTTAGAACCTTTTATCACCCCAAAAGAAGTTCCACAGCCCTCAGCTCCCCACCTCCCAGCAGCCAGCCACTCTCCCCTTTGTTTTTGTTAGTTGTGGGGCTTGAACTCTGGGCCTGGGCGCTGTCCCTCAGCTCTTCAGCTCAAGGCCAGTGCTCTACCACTTAAGCCGCAGTGCCACTTCTGGTTTTCTGGTGATTAATTGGATAAGAGTCTCATGGACTTTCCTGCCCAGCCTGGCTTTGAACCATGATCTTCAGATCTCAGCCTCCTGAGTAGCTAGGATGACAGGTGTGAGCCGCCTGTGCCTGGCACACTTTACCCTCTGAACCAGGGTCTGTTGCTTGGGAGGCGGGTCTTTTGGACCGCACTGGCACCCTCCCACCTGAACCTGCATGTTTTAAGGATGACAGGTGGCTGCCACCACACCCAGCCCTTGTTTGAGATGGAGCCTTGTGAACCTGTGGGCCCTGACTGGCTTCAGATCAAGATTTCTTGGTGTCTGCCTCCAAGAGCCAGCCTGGCTGTGTCTGGCTCTCACTTGGTCTGATGTCAGTGCCTTGCTCCTTTTTATTATTTTTTATTTATTTATTTATTTTTTGGGTCTGGTTGTGGGGCCTGAACTCTGGGCCTGGGCGCTGTCCCTCAGCTCTTCAGCTCAAGGCTAGCGCTTTACCAGTTGAGCCACAGCGCCACTTCCGGCTTTTTTCTTTTTGCTTATGTGGTGCTGAGGAATCGAGCCCAGGGCCTCAGGCATGCAAGACAAGCGCTCTACCACTGAGCCACCTTCCCAGTCCCCTTGGTCCTTTTTACAATTCAGTAATACTCCATTGGGGGCACTAGGTCCAAGGCATTTACCCGTTCAGCGAGCGGCTGTTGTACCTGTTGGCTGTTGTGGACGGTGTTGCCCTGTGCAGTCTTGGCACTTGGGTTCGTGTGGCAGTGCATTTGCAGGGAGTGGCTGGGTCCCGGTGTCCCTGTGTCCAGCCCTGGGAGAGGCGGTCGCCACGCTTCCCTGCAGCATCTCCTTGGGCTGCCAGGCCCACTGGTGCCCATCCTGCGCAGTGGCTCTTCGCTCTGTGGGGTGGAGGCAGATGGTGGGGGCTGGCTCACAGACAGGCAGCCCCGAGGCCCAGCTATGAGGTGCTGGCCTGAGGTCTAGGGACAGTGTTTTTGTTTTTTGTGGGTTGTGGGTTTTGAACTCTGGGCCTGGGCGCTGTCCCACACTCTTCAGCTCAAGGCCAGCGCGCTACACTTGAAGCACAGCACCACTTCCGGGTTTCTGGTGGTTTATTGGAGATAAAGAGTTTCTCGGACTTTCCTGCTCCAGCTGGCTTTGAACCGCGATCCTCAGATCTCAGCCTCCTGAGTAGCTAGGATGACAGGTGTGAGCCACCAGCTCCCGGCTGTAGGGACCGTTTTCCTTCTGAGCATCTGGCCTTTCCTGGGCCTCTCCTGCCTCACGGCTCTAGCAGGCGCTGGGGCTAGGCAGCCACGGGCCTGCAGCTGGGATGCTTCCTCCTCTACTCAGGTTCCTGAAAACAGAGCTGGGACCTGGGGCAGGAACAGGGGAGCTCCCTCCGGGGCCCCACCAGCCACACCCTCAGCATTAGCACTGGGCTCGGAGCTTGCTTGCGCCTCCAGCCTTGGGGGGACAGTGCTGGTTAGCTCGCCAAAAAAGAGGAAGAGGGTTGGTGGCAGGGACACAGGAGCCGCCCCTGAGCTTCTCTCGGGCTGGACTTTGACCTGCAGCCTACCTTGCCAGCACCTTCCGGCCCAAGGCTGCGCCCCCACCCGGCTGGCCCTGGCAGAGCTTGGCCTGCCCTGTTGTTTCAAGATGGGGACTCAAACTTAGTATTCATTGGCGCTCTATCAACTGAGCCAAGCCTCCAACCCGTGGCCCTGACACTTGAAACCCGACTTCCATTTGAGAGGCCTCTTCTACAAGCCCTGGGGGTCCAGGCCGCAAGTTCTCCCTTTGTGCAGTGAATTTCTCTGCCCAGGTCTAGGCCGACTGCGGAGAGGCTGACACCACACCACCGGGGAGCTCCAAGATCCGGACACGCTTCCTCTCGCCGCTCTCCCTGTGGAGTAGAGCGGCTCCCTGGCAGGTTCCGAGGGGCTCTGGAGCGTGGGCCCGTGTGTCCCCACGCTTACTGCTGCCTCTGCGGGGCTGCAGTTCCACCCCAGTGTGGCGGTGCCCACCATGTGGACAGGGCCCTGGCCTGCTGGGCTGGCTCTGATAGAAAACGGCCACGCTCGGGCTGCGAGGGCGGCCCCATGGCAGAGCGCTTGCCTCGCATGCGTGAGGCCCTGGGTTCCAGTCCTCAGCACCACATAAGCAGAAAAAAGCCCGAGGTGGTGCTATGGCTCACGTGGTAGAGCGCTGAAGAGCTGAGGGACAGCGCCCAGGCCCAGAGTTCAGGCTCCACAATCCACAGAAAAAAAGAAAAAACAGCTACGCCCCAGGGGCCCATGGATCATGCCTGCAATTTCAGCTACTCAGGAGGTTGAGGTTAGGAGGACTGTGGTTTGAAGCGGACCAGAGCAGAAAGTTGGAGAGATTCTTGTTTATTTGTGGTGCCGGTCCTGGGGCTTGAACTCGGGGCTGGGCTCCGTCCAGGAGCTTTTTTTTTGGGGGGTCCGGTTGTGGGGCCTGAACTCTGGGCCTGGACGCTGTCCCTCAGCTCTTCAGCTCAAGTCTAGTACTCTACCACTTGAGACACAGCGCCACTTCCGGCTTTTTTTTTTCTGTGTATGTGGTGCTGAGGAATCGAACCCAGGGCCTCATGCATGCAAGGCAAGCACTCTACCACTGAGCCACCTTCCCAGCCCCCCTTTTCTTTTCTTTCATGGACTTTACCCAGGCTGGCTTTAAACCATGATCCTTAGGTCTCAGCTTCCTGAGTAGCTAGGATTTACAGTTGTGAGTCATGAGATTCTTTACTACAATTAACCAGCTGAAAGCCAGAAGTGGAGCTGTGGTTCAAGTGGTGGAGCACCAGCCTTGAGTTCAGAAGCCAGAGGAGAGGGTGAGGCTGTGAGTTCAAGCCCCAGGACTGGCACAGAACATGGTTGTCACTCTTCTGTGCCCACCCTCGTGGTCAGGACGTCAGGCGGGGCAGTGACTGGTGCCCTGCGGTGCTGGTTGAGCCTTAGCTCTGGGGCTGGTCTTCCCTCTGCAGCCCGGCCTGTCCTGTCCCAAGCCGACCCCCCGGCTGGCACGTGCGGCTGAGGGGCTGGGCCCTGCTCCCTCAAGTTGCTGCTGCTTTCAGAGGGTACCGAGCCTGCATGGTGCTGGAGTCGGGCTCCAACTTCACCCTTCCTGAGAAACGTGGGGACGGGGGGCGCTGCCGTGTGCAAGAGTGGAGAGCAGACCCACCCCGGGCTCCCTCCTCCGGGGTCCCCTCCCCCTCTCCCCTTCTGCAAGTCCCGCTGCCCGGCGGGCTTTCTGAATTGCCTTTGGTTAAATTACGGGGGGGGGGGCATAACTCGAGGCTCTCCCCATCCGAGGCCTAGCAGGGAGCATGCCTCATGGCGGGGTGTCTGCCCCTGCCCTGCAGGGTCCATGTCCTCACCTGCAGCATCGGCAGGGTGCGGTGCTGGTGCAGTGGGCGCCCGCTCCCACACAGCAGGGTCCGGGGCCACACCCCCAGCGGGGGAGGCCAGAGCCGCACTGCTGCGCTCACTTTTCTTTTTTTTTTTTTTTGTCTGTCGTGGGGCTTGAACTCTGGGCCTGGGCGCTGTCCCTCAGCTCTTCAGCTCAAGGCCAGCGCTCTACCACTTGAGCCACAGCGCCACTTCCGGTTTTCTGGTGGTTTATTGGAGATAGGAGTCTCATGGTCTCTCCTGCCCGGGCTGGCTTTGAACCGCGATCCTCAGATCTCAGCCTCATGAGTAGCTAGGATTGCAGGTTTTGTCGGTCGTGGGGCTTGAACTCTGGGCCTGGTCGCTGTCCCTCAGCTCAAGGTGAGCGCTCTGAGTTTCTGGTGGTTCCTTGGAGATAAGAGCCTCACAGTCTTTCCTGCCTGGGCTGGCTTTGAACCTCGATCCTCAGATCTCAGTCTCCTGAGTAGCTAGGATGACAGGCGTGAGCCACCCGTGCCCGGCTGCTGGGGTCACTTCTGTGAGGAAGGATGGCCGCGGCCTCCGGCTGGAGGAGCGCGTGTGGGCACAGCTGCTGTGTTTCAGATAGCCGTCGGGGAGTGGGCTGTGGCTGTGGTGGAGCCTGGGGAGGGCCCTGGGGGGAGGGCGCCGGCCCCCAGCTCTGGGGCTCTGGGATTGGGGAGGTGGCGGGGCGCCCTTGGCCTTCTGAAGATTGGGAGTTTTTCAGAATGAGCTGTGCAGCCAGCTGTGGAGGGGCCGGCGCCCTGTGTTCGTGTTCACACCTTGCGGTGGAGAGCAACGGGGACTCGTTAGGTTTGGAGCATCCGGCTCGCTCTTAACAGTGCTGTTGGTCCTCTGGGGTGCTGGCGCTTCTGGGTGTGGGGCCACAGGGGGTGTGGGGCAGACACGGAGGTGCTGTGGACAAAGGCCTCGAAGGGCAGGCACGGCCCAGCTGAGGGCACAGGGCCGTTGTGCAAAGGTGCGGGAGGCGGGCGGTTGCCGGTGCTGTGGGCGCTCTGCTGGCTGTGAGAGGGCGCTTTTCCTCTGCAGGACCCTGCGGGCCGTGGCTGCCAGGCCACCTCAGGGGCCTGCCCTCAGGCCCCGTGCGAGGAGACAGACCAGGCCGCTGCCAGCCCTCTTCCCGGCCCACCCCGGGGCATTTCCACACGTGTTGATCTCTGGAGTTTCAGAGTGGGTGGAGAAACTGCAGTCAGGTGCTGGTGTGTTTGGGAGTGGGTAGGCAGGTGGAGAGATCCTCCCCCCTCCCCCTTCCCTCCCCCTCCCCCCTCTAGAAGCCTTGTGGCTGGGCTCCACTGTCTCCTGGAGCTGTGGCGTGGCCTTAAGCTCACTGAGATCCAGCTGTGTCCGTGACCAGGGCAGGGCAAGTGCATGTGGCGTGGATGAGCAGCTTGGTCCTCCTGGTGGTGTGGGGGTCTCTGTCCTCTGCAACCCCGTCTACAGGAAAGCATCTTTCTACAGGAAAGCACTTGAGTTAAGGGCCCAGTGCTTTTACTTAGTGTGCGTGTGCGTGTGTGTGTGTGTGTGTGAGAGAGAGAGAGAGAGAGAGAGAGAGAGAGAGAGAGAGAGAGAAAGAGAAAGAATATGTCTGTCCTGGGGCTTGAACTCTGGGCCTAGGCACTGTCCCTCAGCTCTTCAGGAGTGCTATCTACCACCTGAGCCTCACCATCACTTCCGGTTTTCTGGTGGTTTATTGGAGATCAGAATCCCACGGTCTTTCCTGCCCGGGCTGGCTTTGAACTACAATCTTCAGATCTCAGCCTCCTGAGTAGCTAGGATGACAGGCGTGAGCCACCAGTACCTGGCTCTTGCTTAGCTTTTGTTGTTGTCGTTCAAGGCTAGAGATCTACCACTTGAGGCATTGCTCCACTTCTAGCTTTTTGGTGCTTGTTTGGAGATAAGCTTTGTCTGCCTGGGCTGGTTTTGAACCAAGACCCATAGGTCTCCTCAGCCTTGTGAGTAGCTAGGGTGACAGGTGTGAGCTGCTGTCGCCAGGCTGGCTTGTTTATATGCAGAGCCTTAGGAAGCCTGGGCAAGGGGTGGGGTGCTCTGCCACAGCACCTGCCTGCCATGTGGGAGCCCCAGGGTGTCCCCCACACCTGGGAACCACAGTCCCTCCTGGGCCAGGGCAGCGCGCGCGCTGGTGGGAGGGCTTGGTGGGAGCAGCAGGGGTGGGGCTGCCCTCCTGGGGAGCTCGTGTGGACTGTCAGGGCCGTTCTGGTTGTGGACCGTGGTTTGGCCCAGGTTCTGCCTGCAGAAGTTGCACGCTGTCTCCTGCCTTGCGCACAGACAGCTGCCAGAGCGTGGCCCTGGGTGGCCGGGGAGACGGCCATCAGAATTGCAGCTAGCCGGGTCCACGTCGGGTGAGTGAACAGACCTGCTCAGGCAGAGGTGGAGTGGGTGGCACTGGTCAGGAAGGGCCACGTGCGTGCGTGCGTGGAAGCGCGGTCATGCTGCCCCGGCCCAGGCTGGTTCTCCCACAGTCGGTACCGTGCTGCTGGGCTGCAGAGGAGGGTGGCCTGAGGCTGGTCTGACACAGGCCAGTCAGCCGCAGGGGTCTGCTTAGTCCCCCGTCCCCCCGCAGCGCAGGCACAGGCATGTGGCGGGCATCTCCAGCTTTATGAAGTGAGGGCGGTGATGCACTCCAGGGGCCTGCCTGCCTGTGGGTGATGTGCTCTGTGCCCCCCTTCTGCGCTCGCCAGCCACCCTGGGGCCAGGCCGTGGGGCGGGGTGGGTGCAGAAGCTAGGACTTGCTGCAGGGGGGAGGGGAACGCCGGACGCAAGCCGGAAAGGACTCAGGCTTGGGTTCAAGGCCCACCTGGGTCCAGAGTGGCGGCCTTCCCTCGCTGGGAGGCCTGAGCGACATTGTGTTTCGTGTGTTTTATAACTGGCTCTTGAGGGGCAGCACTAGCGTGTGACCACAGGGCTGGCTGCACCGCAGCCGGCCAGGTGTGCACTGACTGCCGCCCACAGCCTCGTGCTGTGCACTAATTGTTTTGTGGGGTTTTGTGTGTGTGTGTGTGTTGTTGTTTTTAATTATCAGATGTGGGACTTGATCTCGGCCTGGGTGCTGTCCCTGAGCTCTGCAGCTCAAGGCGAGCACTCTTACCATTTATTTGAACCACATCACTTCTGGTTTTCTGGTGGTTTGTAAGAGTTTCGTGGGCTTTCCTGCCCAGGCTGGCTTTGAACCATGATCCTCAGATCTCAGCCTCCTGAGTAGCTAGGATGACAGGCATGAGCCGCTGGTGCCCGGCTGTATTTTCTTTATTTATGCTACTACTGGGGTTTAAACTTAAGGCCTGGGTGCTGTCCTGAGGTTTTCTGATCAAGGCCGACACTCTACCATTTGAGCCACGGCTCCACTTCTGGCTTTTTGGTGATTATTTGGAGGCCAAGAATCTCATGGACGTTGCTCCCTGTCCTGGCTTTGAACTGCAGCCTGCACATCTCAGCCTCCTACATGTGTCAGATGCCGGTCACGAGGGTCAGGCCACAGCCTCGGGGCCCTGTGTGTCCTGCTCGGCCTCGGCCCCCACTGCTTCTGGCTGGGTTCTGACTGGGGCCACCAATGGCTGATGTGGGAACTTGCGGCGGGGCTTTTCCAGCCTCAGGTGGTTTCTGCTCTGTCTGCTGGCTCAGACCTGCCCCGGCCCCGGGCCCCCTGCCCCGGCCCCCGCCCCCGCCTCTGCCCCTGCTGTGCACCACCTCCTGCTTGTGGCACTCAGCAGCTGGGGGGTGTGCATGGTGCCCATCGGTCCATTCACAGCCAGCCTGTGTTGGAGTTCACTGCTCCAGTCAGCTGAGGTGCAGGGCAGGTCTCCCAGGACAGGCTTTGCCTTGGCGGCTGCGCTGTGGAGAGGGGGCTCTGCGGGGAGGGGCTGGCCCGCAGCTCTTTAGCTCCTGCAGCCGGGCCACGTGGTGCAGTGGTGGGCGGGGCCTGGGCCGCTGGGGCTCTTTTGAAAAACTCAGTTTTAAATTTATGTATGGCATTCATTTTTATATGTGTGTGTAAATGTTTAAACACATATAAAGAGGGTGTGTGTGTGTGTGTTGTGTGTGTGTCAGTCTGTCTCGTCTCCAATCCTGGGACTTGAACTCTCAGCCTGGGCACTGTCCCTGAGCTTTTGTGTTGCAGGTAGTGCTCTCCCCTTTGAACCACAACTCCATTTCCTGCATTTTGGTGGTTAATTGAAGCATCTCGTCTCAGGGACTTTTCTGCTTTGAAGAGCAGTCTTCAGATCTCAGCCCCCTGAGTAGCTAGGATTACAGGCATGAGCCCTTGGTGCCCCACTGTATTTCTTTTTTCTTTTTTTTTTTTTTTTTGGGTCCGGTCGTGGACCTGAACTCTGGGCCTGGGCGCTGTCCCTCAGCTCTTCAGCTCAAGGCTAGCGCTCTACCACTTGAGCCACAGCGCCACTTCCGGCTTTTTTCTTTTTGCTTATGTGGTGCTGAGGAATCGAACCCAGGGCCTCAGGCATGCAAGGCAAGCGCTCTGCCATTGAGCTACCTTCCCCGCACCTGTATTTCTTTTTTAAGTAGTTGTCCAGTTCACGAGTCAGACAGCGGAATGCACCTGGGTCAGCATCGGGACGGCTTTGGCTGGAGTGGCGGGTGCGCCCGGGCGGCCTGGTGATGGTGCCGCTGTCCCTCTGCAGGTTGGACCCGAGGGCGTCCTGCAGAATGGGGCTGTGGATGACAGTGTGGCCAAGACCAGCCAGCTGCTGGCAGAGCTGAACTTCGAGGAGGACGAGGAAGACACGTACTACACCAAGGACCTCCCCATCCATGCCTGCAGGTAGGCACGCTCTGGGGGAGGGAGGGTCCCTGCCCTTCCTGGGGGTGCGGACTCGTGAAGGGGAGTTGGGGGTGACCTGAGCCACCAGTGTGGGCTGGCCGGGAAGCTGTGGCTCCGGCGTGGCCCAGCTCTCCTAGCCGGGCGTGTGCGGCCCCTGCCCACACCAGCTGTGGCTTTGGTCCATGGGCTGCCTCCGGCAGGCACTAGCGCCTGCCCTGGCTGCACTCTGGCCTGGTCTTGGCCCCACCGGGCGTCACGTGCACGTAGTTTAAGATTGACACCGTTAGCAGATGGTGGCTCAGGCCCGTCACCCCAGCTACTCAGGAGGCTGAGATCTGAGGATCCTGGTTCAGAGCCAGCCCGGGCAGGAAGGTCCGTGAGACTCATCTCCAGTAAACCACCAGAAAACTGGAAATGGAGCTGTGGCTCAAATGGTCAAGCCTTAGCCTTGAGCAAAAAGCGCTCAGGGACAGTCACTGGTGGTTGTGTGCAATGACACCTCCAGCTTGTCCTGCCTGCTGCTGGGCTGGGCTGCACAGCTCCCCCTCCCTCCCGCCCCCCTGGTGACCTGGAGTGGGGGTGGAGGGAGAGATGGGGGCCTCTCCGCCATGCGCTCTCTGAGCCAAGCCCTGGCCCTGCATGCTAGCAGAGCTGTCTGTGGAGCCAGGGAGTCCTGGAGAACGCAGGCCAGAGGCATTCCTCTGCCTGACAGCCTGGCCCTGTCTCCGTCCCCAGGACCACGGCGCCCTCTGCTGGCGCCCTGTTGCAGGTGCCCCTGGAGGAACTGGGGCACTCGGCCCCACCTCCCTCCAGCCTGGCCCCGCCCCACCCCACCTCCCTCCAGCCTGGCCCCCCCCCCCCCCACGCCACTTGGACTGTGTGGTGGCTGTCACTGGGCCTGTTGGGTGGTTGATTTATTTTGCTGGTCCTGGGGCTTGAACTCAGGGCTGGGCTCTGTCCCTGGGTGGTTTTTGCTCAAGGTTAGCTTTAGGCCCACAGCACCACGTCTGGTCTTTTAGTGATTACTTGAAGGTAAGAGTCTCATCAGCTGGGTTTGAACCATGGTCCTCAGGTCTCAGCCTCCTGAGTAATTAGGATTGTAGTAATTGGGATTGTAGTGAGCCACCAGGGCCTGTCTTGAGGACGTGTTTGATGGAAAACGGCAAGCATGTTGTAGGGAAGGGATTCAGTAAGTCGCTGCCAAATGCAAGCCAGAGTGCCCACTTGCAGTGGTAACTGTTGACGTTGGCCTTTGTTCAGTTACTGCGGAATCCATGACCCCGCCTGTGTGGTGTACTGCAACACCAGCAAGAAGTGGTTCTGTAACGGCCGCGGGAACACTTCTGGCAGGTAGGTGCCTCCGCAGAGGCGGCTCCGGGTCCTGGCGTGGAACTCGCACTCACCGCAGGCCGGCGCCGCCGCAGCGACGTGGGCAGACCCCCACTCAGGCGCTCCAGGTGGTGCTCAGAGCAGGGCTGAGGCCTAGAGATTGTGAAGGAGATCTCCCCTTATGATAACAAAACACGCCTGTCCCTCTTCCGTGTCTTTTCTGCTCGTGGCTGTCGCGTGCACTCTGCTGTGTGGGAAGTGTGCTTGTAGAGCAGGAGTGGCTTCTGCTCAGCGCAGCCAGGAACAAGCGCGCAGAGGGCCTCGGGGCAGCTGTGGCCTGGGGCCCGAGGGCTCTGCCAAGACCTGGGCGGTCAGAAGTGGTCTGCAGCTCGCTCAGGATGCCTTGGTCAGGGCCCCTGGGCCCGGGCCGCCCCTTGGCACCCTGAGTGTCTGAGGACGAGCGAGCTCGTGGGGAGTCATTCCTGACGATGGGCACAGCCAGGAAAGCCCGGGTGGCCAGGCGCCAGGTTCTCCCCGCCCCCAGCAGCGCAGTGCCCGGGGCGGGCTGCAGGGGGCGGCCCGTGCCTGTGGCAGCCCTACCTGTGGAGCCGCCGCGGGCGTGGGGGAAGAACCCGGGACGGGGAACGGCTGTGCTGGGGAAGCGTTGTGAAAGTTGGGGTTGAGTTTCCTGCTGGGAGGAGAGCGGCTGGGGGCCCTGGGGGGGGGGCAGGTGGGGCGGAGAGCGGCTGGGGGCCCTGGGTGTGGGGGCAGGTGGGGCGGAGAGCGGTTGGGGGCCCTGGGTGTGGGGGCAGGTGGGGCGGAGAGCGGCTGGGGGCCCTGGGGGGGGCAGGTGGGGCGGAGAGCGGTTGGGGGCCCTGGGTGTGGGGGCAGGTGGGGCGGAGAGCGGCTGGGGGCCCTGGGTGTGGGGGCAGGTGGGGCGGAGAGCGGCTGGGGGCCCTGGGGGGGGGGCAGGTGCGTGCGGAGAGCGGCTGGGGGCCCTGGGGGGGGGCAGGTGGGGCGGAGAGCGGCTGGGGGCCCTGGGGGGGGCAGGTGGGGCGGAGAGCGGCTGGGGGCCCTGGGGGGGGGCAGGTGCGTGCGGAGAGCGGCTGGGGGCCCTGGTGGGGGGGCAGGTGCGTGAGGAGAGCGTCTGGGGGCCCTGGGGGGGGGGCAGGTGGGGCGGAGAGCGGCTGGGGGCCCTGGGGGGGGCAGGTGCGTGCGGTTTGGCGTGGCCGCGCTGCTCACAGCGCTGGGGCTGAGTGCGGTTCCGCGGTCCCGCCGCAGCCACATCGTGAACCACCTGGTGAGGGCCAAGTGCAAGGAGGTGACGCTGCACAAGGACGGGCCGCTGGGCGAGACGGTGCTGGAGTGCTACAACTGCGGCTGCCGCAACGTCTTCCTGCTCGGCTTCATCCCGGCCAAGGCCGACTCGGTGGTGGTGCTGTTGTGCCGGTGAGGGTGCGGGCGGGGCGCGGCGGGCGGGGCGTGTGCGCCTGGCGGGGCGCCTTCCTGAGGGGGCTCTCCCGCCCCTCCCTCCAGGCAGCCCTGCGCCAGCCAGAGCAGCCTGAAGGACATCAACTGGGACAGCTCGCAGTGGCAGCCCCTGATCCAGGACCGCTGCTTCCTGTCCTGGCTGGTGAAGATCCCGTCGGAGCAGGAGCAGCTGCGGGCGCGGCAAATCACCGCGCAGCAGATCAACAAGCTGGAGGAGCTCTGGAAGGTGAGGGCTGGGGTGGTGCTGGCTGTGCAGGACCCGGAGCACAGACAGGCCCAGGGACAAGGCCCGCCAGAGAAGGCGCCGTTCCAGGCCCGGTCACACAGCGCCACGCCCCTCACAGGAGAACCCCTCAGCCACGCTGGAGGACCTGGAGAAGCCCGGAGTGGACGAGGAGCCGCAGCACGTGCTGCTGCGGTACGAGGACGCCTACCAGTACCAGAACATCTTTGGCCCCCTGGTCAAGCTGGAGGCCGACTACGACAAGAAGCTGAAGGAGTCTCAGGTGATGGCAGGACACCACCAAGCTCCCTACTGAGCCGCTTGCACCCTGGGCGGCCGGGCCTGCGGCTGCTGCGCAGTCCCAGCTCCCCACTCACGGGAGCAAGTGCCAGCCCGAAAGCCAAGTCACACCCTCCCGCTGTGTCTGTGGCCACCGGCGGGGGGTGGGGCGGCCAGGCCCCACCCGTGTCCAGCCCAGCACAGCCCAGCGCTGTCCCTGCCTGCTGCCAGCTGCTGACGGGGCTCTGCCATGTCTACCCAGCCCTGTCTCTCCGGAGCACCCGGCCCGCAGGGGCTCCTGGCCCCGTGTCTGGGGGGCTGACCCGGGCTCTTGTTTTCCATGTGCTCAGACTCAAGATAACATCACAGTCAGGTGGGACCTGGGCCTTAACAAGAAGAGAATCGCCTACTTCACTTTGCCCAAGACTGACTCTGGTAATGAGGATTTAGTCATAATTTGGTTAAGAGGTGATTTTAAGTTTTAAAATACTTGTGACCATAAGTAGTGTAACATTCCTAGATCCCCTCCCTGTAATGTGTCCCCTTGATTTGCACCGCGTGGGAGCTGTGCGTGGGAGATAACCCGCTCCTCCCATCTTCACACCGCAGACATGCGGCTCATGCAGGGAGACGAGATCTGCCTGCGGTACAAGGGCGACCTCGCACCCCTCTGGAAGGGGATCGGTCACGTCATCAAGGTCCCGGATAGTATCCTTCACATGCTGGGGCCGGCAGGAGGGGGGCAGGGACCAACCACGGGTCCCTGCCTGTGTGTGTCTGTGTCCCCTCCCTGTCCGCGCGGTCTTGGAGGGCCCCACGGGGAGGGGTGGCAGATGTCCCCGCGTGCTCTGCTGCGCCACCCACGGGTGCAAGAGCGCGAGTGGCCGGGGAGGTGGCTTTGGACAGAGAAGCAGGCTTAACTCAGCGTCCAGATTACGGTGACGAGATCGCCATTGAGCTCCGCAGCAGCGTGGGGGCCCCCGTGGAGGTCACCCACAACTTCCAGGTGGACTTCGTGTGGAAGTCCACCTCCTTTGACAGGTACGCAGCGCACGCGGGGCGCAGCTGCTTGCTGGGCCCGGCTCCCGCCAGGGGGCTGGCTCCCCAGGGCAGTCACTGACCCTGCTCTCATCCCAGGATGCAGAGCGCCTTGAAAACCTTCGCTGTGGACGAGACCTCGGTGTCGGGCTACATCTACCACAAGCTGCTGGGCCATGAGGTGGAGGACGTGATCATCAAGTGCCAGCTGCCCAAGCGCTTCACAGCGCAGGGGCTCCCAGACCTCAACCACTCTCAGGTTTGCAGGGTCCCGCTGGGCGGGCGTGCGTGCGTGCGTGCATGCAGATCTCTGCAGGGCGGGCTGAGTGAGCCCCTTTTGAGACGCAGGCCTTGCAGGTGTATGCCGTGAAGACCGTGCTGCAGAGGCCACTGAGCCTCATCCAGGGCCCGCCAGGCACTGGCAAGACGGTGACGTCGGCCACCATCGTCTATCACCTGGCTCGGCAGGGCAATGGGTAGGCAACGTGGCCCGTGGGCGAGGCTGCGGAGCCTCAAGGCCCACGGTCCCAGCGGGGTCTGGTCGGGGGCAGGGCGCCTTCCTGCATGTTGGGTCCTGGGCTGTGGGCTGGCACGCGTGGACAGGTGGCAGCAGACAGGGCAGCGCCCGTGGCTCTTGTCGACACAGCTCTTAGGCTGGCGGGGCAGGGAGGCTGGGCCCGCTCCCTTCTCCCTGGGCGACGGGAGCCCCGGGCTGAGGTCGAGCCGTGCCATCCCGCCCAGGCCCGTGCTGGTCTGCGCCCCGAGTAACATCGCCGTGGACCAGCTGACCGAGAAGATCCACCAGACCGGGCTGAAGGTGGTGCGCCTGTGCGCCAAGAGCCGGGAGGCCATCGACTCGCCGGTGTCCTTCCTGGCCCTGCACAACCAGATCAGGAACATGGACAGGTAGAGGCCTCGGGCTCGGGCCGGGCTTGCCCTGTGGCCAGCACGGGTGGAGCCCGCCACCCATCTGCGTCTGCTTACAGCATGCCGGAGCTGCAGAAGTTGCAGCAGCTGAAGGACGAGACCGGGGAGCTGTCCTCGGCGGACGAGAAGCGGTACCGCGCCCTCAAGCGCACCGCTGAGAGAGAGCTGCTCATGGTGAGCGGCCCGGGCCGCCCCAGGGGCGGGCCCCAGGGTCTGTGGGAGTGGCCGCTACCTGGGCCGGTCTGCGGGTGTTGAGGAGAGTGCTGGCTCTGGGTGCTGTGCAGGACCCGGCGGGGCACTCACGCGTGCCTTCCCAGCCCTCCGAGGTTGAGGCGGGAGGATGGGACGCTCAGGCCGGTCTGGCAGCATGCAGACCCATCGGAAATGCACGAGTGCCGTGGTCAGGAGGGTTGGAGTGGGCCCCTCTGGGCGTCCTGGTCCTGCTGGTGTGGACCGTGCGGTGCCCTGACACCCCTGCCCCCCTAGAACGCGGATGTCATCTGCTGCACCTGCGTGGGCGCGGGCGACCCCAGGCTGGCCAAGATGCAGTTCCGCTCCATCCTCATCGACGAGAGCACACAGGCCACTGAGCCCGAGTGCATGGTGCCCGTGGTCCTCGGGGCCAAGCAGGTGGGCCCCCTGGGAGCCCTGTGGGGCGGGGATGACGGGCCCGTGGGGTGCCAGGGCTGCTCCTCACGGGCCCCGCCGCGCTCTCCCCAGCTGATCCTGGTGGGTGACCATTGCCAGCTGGGCCCGGTGGTGATGTGCAAGAAGGCGGCGAAGGCCGGGCTCTCGCAGTCGCTCTTTGAGCGCCTGGTGGTGCTGGGCATCCGGCCCATCCGCCTGCAGGTCCAGTACCGCATGCACCCCGCCCTCAGCGCCTTCCCCTCCAACATCTTCTACGAGGGCTCGCTGCAGAACGGCGTCACCGCAGGTAGGGCTGGAGCGGAGCGCCGGGCAGCCGGCGGCCTGGGTGGGGGTGCCCCCAGGCTCCACAAGACCTGGACTTGAGAGCAAGTCACTGCCCTCCGGAGATGGCAAAGCCCCGAACCCCAACCGGAGCCTCGCCCTCCGTGGGCCTCATGGCTCCCCGCTCCCACTCCCTTGACGGTGATGGCTGGACGGCAGGCAGGCCACGCTGGACCACGGGAGTCCACCCACGCCCTGTCAGGCACACCGAGGGGCATGGGGGTGTGGGTCCTGCAGGAGACTCACCTGGGGCTCACGCTGGCGCAGCGCAGCCGTCCTGGACAGAATGGACTTGTCCCCAGGGCTCCCTGGACAGGCAGGGCCGCCATCTGCGAGGTCATGTGACCAGAGGGCCTGTGGCCCTCACAGCCTGCTCCCCCCCGGGCGTGGCACCGTGGGGGCGTGGACCTGCCCCTCTCCCCGCACGTGGCACCGTGGGGGCGTGGACCTGCCCCTCTCCCCGCGCGTGGCACCGTGGGGGCGTGGACCTGCCCCCAGGAGTTGCTGCCCTGTGGCTTCAGGTGGAGCCGCCGCCATCCAGTTCCCTCCTTCCACCCATGTGAGCGCAGGAGCCCGGGCTCAGGCGCTTGGTCCCCAGACCCACGCGCACCCCACCCTCGCAGGGAAGCCGCGGAGAACAAGGCCCCTCCTTGCGCAGTGCGCTGCTTCATCAGTTGTGGGGTTTTGGTTTGGTGCGGAGCTTGAGCGTGGTGGGTGGCGCTGTCCCCGGCTCCAGGCCGCACCGCACACTTGAGCCCCGGCGCCGCTCGCGGCTTGTTTTGTGATTGATTGGAGGTGAGTCTCGTGGGCTTCCCGTCTGTGCTGGCCTCTGAACCACGATGCCCACGTCTCAGCCGCCTGAGCAGCTGGGACTCCAGGTGTGGCCCCTGGCGCCCGGCCGGCCTTGTTGTTTTCCACATCTATGCAACATGAGGCTTTCCTGTGGCTGGGGCGAGGTCAGGAGGCTCAGAGCCGTGAGGGTTTTTCTGGGCCTGGTCTCTGCGGTGTTGGGGCGCTTAGCCATTTCCCTGTGAGGACCGGAGGCTTCCTCCGTGAGGGGCCGTGGGGCTGCCAAACGTGGGTCCTCAGTGGTCACCTCATCCCCTGGGACGCAGCGGTCTGCATTGTGTAGCCCTGCTCGAGGCCCGGGCTGTGTCCAGGCTGCCCAGCAGACCCTGCAGTGCCGTGTGGCTCTTGCTTCTCTTGCCCAGCCCCCACCGCTTCCTGGGGCTGCCAGGGCTCAGCATGCAAGTCACCCCACCTTCCCTGGGGCCCCCAGCCCCCTCCCGCCAGCCTGAGCTGTGTGGGGCGCCAGGACGGGCGGCACGGGTACCGTGCACCGGTGCCTGGCGTTGCCCGCTGCCCAGTCATGCACAGCAGCCACAGCCACCGCGCTGCCTCGGCGGCCGGGTAGGCCATCTGTTCGTCCATCCGTCTGTCTGTCGGGGTGCTGGTGTGGCAGGCTACGCTGGAGGGTTCCGCGGGAGTTATCCAAGGGCAGTGATGTTTCTCAAGGGACCTTTGTGGCCCTGGAGCAGCGTTCCGGATGGGCCGGAGGAAGCCCTGCTCTGTCCCTCACACCCACTGCCGTGTCCACGGGCCCCGCGGCGGCCCCTTGCTGACTGTTCGTTGCCTCTTCCCTGTCCTGTCCTCCCCGACGGCAGCTGACCGTGTGAAGAAGGGCTTTGACTTCCAGTGGCCGCAGCCTGACAAGCCCATGTTCTTCTACGTGACCCAGGGCCAGGAGGAGATTGCTAGCTCGGGCACATCCTACCTGAACCGGTGAGTGCCGCCCTGGCCAGAAGCCGGGGGCGGGCTTGGGGTGGGGGGCCAGGGGGCGGCCGTGTGAAAGCCGGGTGTCTTAGGACGGAGGCCGCGAACGTGGAGAAGATCACCACGAAGCTGTTGAAGGCGGGCGCCAAGCCCGACCAGATCGGCATCATCACGCCGTACGAGGGTCAGCGCTCATACCTGGTGCAGTATATGCAGTTCAGCGGCTCCCTGCACACCAAGCTCTACCAGGTGGGCCCATGGGGGGGTCATGTGACCCTGGCGGGGGTGGGCAGAGGGGCGGCCACACAGCACCCGGGCGCGGGGAGCAGCGGACGTGGGGCCAGGCCGCTGTCTAACAGGCCCCCACCCTCAGGAAGTGGAGATTGCCAGTGTGGACGCCTTCCAGGGCCGTGAGAAGGACTTCATCATCCTGTCGTGCGTGCGTGCCAACGAGCACCAGGGCATCGGCTTCCTCAACGACCCGCGGCGCCTCAACGTGGCGCTGACCCGGGCCAGGTGCGCCCCGGCCCCGGCCCCACCCCCATGGCTCCCCCGCACGCGCACGCCTGTGTTCTGGAGCCCTTGACCAGAACCTGATTCTCAAGCCCGGGTTTGTGGCTGAGTCTGCTGTAGAGGAAGCTTCCATGGCAGTGAGGGGTCCCTGCAGGACACAGGGCAGCCGCTGCCCCGCCCCGGGCTCCGAGCTGCCTGGTGCTGACACCCAAGTCCTTGCGTGGCTTGCTGTCCCCTAAAGTGCGACGGGGGTGGTCTGGGTCCCTTGGGGCGCAGCTCCTTGCGTGCGAGGGTCCCCGGGGCCGTTGGCCTCCACGTAGCTCGGCCTGGGTGGGTGCCGGGCCTTCAGCACCTGCACTGGCCACAGGTACGGCGTGATCATCGTGGGCAACCCGAAGGCGCTGTCGAAGCAGCCGCTGTGGAACCACCTGCTGAGCTACTACAAGGAGCAGAAGGCGCTGGTGGAGGGGCCGCTCAACAACCTGCGTGAGAGCCTCATGCAGTTCAGCAAGCCCCGCAAGCTGGTCAACACCGTGAACCCTGTGAGCCCCGCCCCCCCCTCCCCCCCAGCCACCTGCAGCAACCCCACACACACACACACCCCCGCGCCTGCAGGTGGGTGACACATTTCTCGCTTGCCTGCCATCCTGTAGGGGGCCCGCTTCATGACCACCGCCATGTACGACGCCCGCGAGGCCATCATCCCCGGCTCTGTCTACGACAGGAGCAGCCAGGGTGAGTCCCAGGCCCGGCCCAGTCCCCTCGGCCCCCCTACATCCTGTCTTGCTGTACTCCTGCCAGTAACCCAGCCTCCTTCCCTGCCGCCTCCGTGGTCACAGCCAACACACACGCACACGCACACCCCCGAAGGCCGGGGGCAGGTGTTCGCATGGCAATGTCTGCAGTGGTGTCTTGCAGGCCGGCCGTCAAACATGTACTTCCAGACGCACGACCAGATCGGCATGATCAGCGCGGGCCCCAGCCACGTGGCGGCCATGAACATCCCCATCCCCTTCAACCTGGTCATGCCGCCCATGCCGCCCCCAGGCTACTTCGGCCAGGCCAACGGGCCTGCCGCGGGTGAGCGACCCCGCGGCCCCGGCCTCCTCACCCCCGCCGTGATTGGTGCTTCCACTGACGGTCAGACTTCCAATGTGATGGTTGCCTTTCAGGCCGGGGCACCCCCAAAAGCAAGACTGGCCGTGGGGGCCGCCAGAAGAATCGCTTTGGGCTTCCTGGGCCCAGCCAGACCAATCTCCCCAACAGCCAGGCCAGCCAGGATGTGGCGTCCCAGCCCTTCTCGCAGGGCGCCCTGACGCAGGGCTACATCTCCATGAGCCAGCCCTCGCAGATGAGCCAGCCCGGCCTCTCCCAGCCCGAGCTGTCCCAGGTGGGCCCCTGCCCCCGCGGGCGGGCGGGCGGGCCCCACGCCACGCCTTGTGTGCTCCGCCCACTCACCTCTCCACCCGTCTTGTAGGACAGCTACCTCGGGGATGAGTTCAAATCCCAGATCGACGTGGCCCTGTCGCAGGACTCCACCTACCAGGGCGAGCGGGCCTACCAGCACGGCGGCGTGACAGGGCTGTCCCAGTACTAGAGGGTGAGCCCCCTCCCGTGGACGCGGCCGTGGCGGTGCACCCGAGGGCGCCCTGGCTTCCCTGGGCCTAGCGCCGGGCGGGTGGGGTGGAGGGTGCGCTGCGTCCCAGTCCCCCAGAGGGCCGCCTGCCACGGCCCTGCTGCCAGGTTGCTCGGGCTCTGTACCCCGGTCCCTGGCCATGCCCACTGCCCCTGACCACAGCCCTTGCCCTGTCCCCGCCCGCAGGTGGCGGCAGAAGAGCTAAGCTTCGTGGCTTAGTCCATCAGCATCTTATCCTGGGTAATAAAAATAAAATAAATGGATACCTGTTTTCCACTGCTAAAACTGAAGCACCAGTGTGTGAGCGACAGGAGAGGGCAAGCAGCAAGGGAGGAGCCGAGACCTGAGGAGGAGGAGCAGGAGGAGGAAGAGGAGGACGAGGAGGCAGAGCAGCAGCAGCAGCAGCGGCAGCAGCAGCAGCAGCGGCAGCAGCAGCGCCCGCTGGCGGCGAGGAGAGGAGCAGCAGCAGCGGCAGGAGAGCACCCTGCCTGCCCGCCCGAGCGCGGCCGCCCAGCCCAGGGCCCGAGACCGCCGCGCGCCTGGAGGGCGGAGACCCTCACTCAGAGTAGCCCCTTCCTCTGTTCTGTTCTTTCTTTTCTTTTGGATGAAAGGGGACTACGTTTTAGCAGAACAAACTTCGCATTTCTGCCCCAGTGGGCTCCCCACAGGCGGCTGCCCAGCCGTCCGCCCGCCTTCTAAGAAGGGTTCCTTTAATCTAGAAGGGTGTTTGGGGTTTCCTGTTTGTTTTTATTTTAAGATTCTCTCCGAGGAGTACTGAGACCGATCCTAAGTCCTAGTGGCACCCGGGAGAGGGGGACGCTTGTGCCAGGCCGTTTCCAAGAGCCCCGGCCCAGCAGCACTGCCTGCAGCCGCGCCCCGTGCCGGCCTGCCCGGGAGGGGCCAGGCCGGACCCTGAGGCTGGTGGGAGGGCGGCGGGGAGGGCATCCATCCATCCAGGGCTCCACGCGGAGGTGGATGGGAGGCCGGGTCCGGCCCCACGGTGCCCCATCCTGTGCCCTTTGACCCTAGGCCCCGGCCCCGCTGGTGGCTGCCACTGAGCTTGGCTGGGCAGGGCGAGCGTTTGTCACCAGGTGCAGAGGCGCCATGCTGGGCGCCCCAGCCCCTCCCCTTTCCCACGCTTCGGGCGCCCACCCCACCCGCAGCCCCACCGATCCACGAATCGAGGAGCATCTGTGCACACGGTGTGACTTGGTTTTGATCAATTTGTTTTAAGCTCTTGTCACCAATAAAACGTTAACAAACAGTGGTGGCCTTTCCTGGGGGAGGGGCGGGGGAGGGGACGGGCAGCCCGCGGCACCCTCAGCGGCAGCCGCACTCGTCGGCCACCATGTCCTCGTAGTGGCGCAGCACCACGTTGTCGCTGTTGTCGAAGAAGAGCACGGAGATGGGTGACAGGCGCGCGGGAACGCAGCAGGGCGGGCCGGTGGCGCCCGGCGCAGCCGCGTGCACCAGCGCGCGCAGCACCGCGTGGTTGAGCGCGGGCGGCGCCCCGGGTGCGGGCAGCGCGGCGGGCAGCGCGCAGTGGCCCTGGCAGAAGTTGGCCTGGAAGCCGCGCGGCGCGATGACCCAGCGGTGCCAGCCCACCTCGCGGAAGCTCACGTAGAGCCGGCGCGCGCGGCAGGCGCCGGCGGGGGGCGGCGCGGCCTGGCGCCGCGGCCGGGCCGGGGGGCGTGGGCACCGGCGCGGGTCCAGGCTCACGAGCAGCAGCGAGGCCTCGGCCAGGGGCGCGCAGGCGGCGGGCGCGCGGGGCCGCAGCGCCAGCGCCAGGCGGAGGCTGCGGGGCGCCGAGGCGTTGGCGGCCCAGGCGGCGCCCAGCAGCTCGGCGCGCACCGGCCGCTCGGGCGCGCGCACGGCCCGGCGCAGCAGCTCGGGGCCCGGGCCCGCCTCGCCCGCCAGCGCCACGCTCAGCTCCCAGCCGTCCGCGGGGCCCGCCGCGGCCGCGCTCCCCGCCGCGAAGCGCAGCTCCAGCCGCGCGCTGCTCGGGCGCTCGGCCGGCTCCACCGCCGACAGGTCGAAGGCCACGGTCCAGGCGGGGCACGGCCCGGCCTGTGCCGCGCCGGGCTCCGGGCGCATGTCCGCCGCACCTGGGGAACGAGAGCACCGGCTAGCGCCCAGGGCGCGCGCGCCGACGCCGGCCGTCGGAGGGCAGGGGCGGGCCGGGGAGGACGGAGGGGCCCCGGGTTCCCCCCTCCGGCGATCGCTGGCCGCACTCACCACGGCCCGGAACGTGGCGCACGATGTTCCCGGCGACCCCCAGCTCCTCCACGTGGCACGGTCGCGGCGGGGCCGCGGGGGACCCCCGCCACCCCGCCCGGGCTTCCCGGGGGTCACGGCGGCGGAACAGCCGCCACATGAGCGGAGGGACAGGCCGGAGCCTGGGGGCGCCGCGGGGCGCATGGCGCAGCCCGAGGGCCCGGAGGAGGGCGGCGGCAGGGTCCGGGGACGCCGGGGCGCGGGCCGGGGCGGGCGCGGGCAGCAGCAGGGCCAGGAGGAGGAGGTGAACGGGATGGAGCAGCGGCGGCATCTTGCTCCCAGCGCCGGCCAATGTGAGCAGCATCCACCGCAGCCTGGACCAGCGGTCCGGGGTGGGGCCGAGGGCCCGGGGCGGGCCGGGGGGGAGGCGGGGGGGGGGGGGGGGCGCGGGCCGCCAGAGGGGCGGAGGCGCGGGGACGGCCAGCCCAGAAGGGAGCGCGCTGAGGCCAGGATCCCGAGACAAGGTCGATCCGTCGGGGGCGTGGCCAAGCGGCCCCAGGAGGCGTGGCTTCCGTCGGAGGCGCAGCAGGCTCTTCGGGGAGTGGCCCAGCTTCTCCTGGGAGGCGTGGCTTCCGTCAGAGGTGAGTCGGGGCGTGGCTTAGGCGGGGCGGGGCCTGCTCGGGGGCGGGGCCGGGCTCAGAAGCGCTTCTCCTTCACCAGGCCGTTCCTCAGCGGCCTCCTGCGGGCGGGAGGCCGGGGGTGAGGCGGGTCCAGCGCCCCGGCCCCGCCGGGCCTCCCTGCGCTGGTCCCCGCAGGCACGCCCGCGCTGCACCCCACATTTCAGAGCCCCAGCCCGGCAGGCGCAGGCCGCCGGAGGTGCAGCCCCCCTTCCAGGAGCCGACCCGCCCCGGGGCCCCCACCTCAGGGCCCGGCCCCGGGCGGATCTCACACAAGTCGGTGAGGCCCGGCGGGCCGGCCCCGCCAGCGAGCCTGGGAGCCCGGGCACGGGCCGGGGATGGGCTCCCACCGCCCGTCCGCCGGGCTCCGGCCTTCCACGGAAGCTCTAGCGGACAGTCCGCACACAGGAGGCAGCGGGGGGCCGGGGCCGCCTTGGGACGGGCCGGACAGCCCGCAGCCCCGCGCGGACCGGGCAGCAGCAGGGTGGGGGGCGCTGGGCGGACGCCTGTGCCTCAGGTCTGGGTGCTGTCACCTTCGTCCGTGGCACAGCAGGCCACGCCAGCCCTGTGGTCTCCCTGCACGGCCTCCTGACCCCGCCGGCCACCTTGTGCCATTTTAAAAAATAAGTTCCACATTTTCGAGTATTCCTAGATTCCGCGAGCGCCACGGCCACCGCATCTGCGGCTGCGGGTGGCAACGCAACTGTGGCCCAGGCACGTCTCGGGGCCTGCCACAGCTCCCCACCCCTCCCTGCGACCTGGACAGGTTTCCCTTCTCTCCGTCTGTCCCTCTGTCTGTCTGTGTCAGTCTGTCTCATCACTTCCTGCACGCTGTGCCAGGCACATGCTGTCCTGCCCGCCGAGCCTGGCACGGCTGCGGATGCTTCTGCTGCGGTGTTCCCACCCCTCAGCCTCACCCTCTGACTCCTGGGCCCTGCCCTCTGACCCCTTGTTCTCTGACCCCCCTCCCCCCCCCCCTGCCTCCCGCCATGTTCTATGTTAGACCCAGCCAACTCCTGCCACCTGTAGAGATTCTGGTTCAAGGGTGTCCCTGGGACACTTACTTCTTTATGATTTGCGCTCTCAGAAGTGGGGTGCCCCATCACACCATGCTCTGGCTGGGCATTCAGGGGCCTGGCTGGTGCCTGCCTGGCCAGCCCACGGTGAGTCTGTCCATCCACAGCACCAATCTAACCTTTCTTGCTTTTAGATTTCACCAAGGTCATCTCCTACCCCATTCTCTCCCCCACTGCTCCCCCTGGAATGTTCTGGAAAAATCCTCAGGGAGGCCTCACTGATCTCTCTGTACAATTCCTGACTCACCTTCAAGGGACAACTACAATGAACTGGGCCCCGGGCGCCCCAGATGAGATTTTGCCACCCAGGGTGTGGGCCCTGCCCCTCCCCACAGCCCTGCCTGAGCCCCGCCCACTCCAGCCAAAAGGTTTGATCCATCCTTGACTATTTCTACACCGCCTGCCCCATCAAAGCCAGCCTGCTGGCTCCTGTCCCGCTCCTGCCCCGGAGGGGCGTCTTGTGGTCTTTCCTGCCCTGGCTGGCCTCCACTGCTCCCCATCGCAGCCCCCCCCCCCCCTGCAGCTAGGATGTGTGAGTCACGTGGTTTACACACGGCCCTCCCAGCTGCTGACCCCATCCTGACCTGGTAATGGAGTCGGAGCCAGCTGCTTCCCAACACCAGGCCCCACCGCCTGGTCCAGGCAGGTCACGGAGACTGGCTGGCCAGCAGCTTCTGGAACCTTCTGCAGCCTCCCGTCCCCACTCACAATTACACTGTGTCAGGTGTTGTCCCCGGCACTCAGGCCACAGCGGGACACGGGGACAGGTTGGAGGTCATAGGTTGGAGGCCGCGCTCCCTGTGCCCTCCCCCGGTGTCCTGGCCGTCCCTGCAGCCCACCACACAGCCCTCCACACGGTCCACGCCCGTGCGGGGTCTGCGTGAATGAGTCCGGGCCAGTCAGCAGCCCCTGCCCACTGCCTCGGTGCTCAGGCAAGGGTCCCAGGCTGGGCCTCTGCACTCACTCAGCTTTGCTGGGCTTGGGGTTCGGGGCTTCAGAGGGGTCATACTCCCGCAAGTCCTTCAGCTCACGCATCTGGCCCGTCAGCACCTTGGCGGCAAAAGCCACGATGTACTGTGGGAGGGGGGGATTCGGGGGGGGGGTGAGACAGGCCCTTCCTCCCTCTTCCTCCTTCCTCCCCAGCCCTGCGGGCAGCGGTGTGCTGCTGCCACAGGCCCTTGTCACCTGCTGTTCCCATGGCACTACCCGCAGACCAGGACGGGACAGACACTGCCTGCCCCAAGCCGGGCAACTCACCAGGAACCAGTAGATGTTCATGACGGTGAGCAGCAGCAAGAGTGCGTTGAAGAAAAAGTAGAAGGGGATGTCGGGCACGGAGACCAGGCTGGAGTGGCTGGTGGCGTACAGGACCTTGAGCGGGAACCAGTAGAGACGGAACCAGAACCTGCGGGGGGGGGGGGGGGGGGGGGGGAAGGGGCGGGGTGGTACGAGGTGGGGGCCCCACTCAGCCCATGTCCAATCCCATCTTGTCCCTGCCCAGTCCCGCCCTCCCCGGCTCCCTCCTCCATGCGTGCCCTGCCCCTCAGGTCCGCTCTGGAGCTCCTTCCTCACCACCCCACACCCACTCCACGGCCCTGCTCTGTCAGGAGCCGCCAGAACCAGGTTCCACTACCCCCCCAAAGTGCTCCCTGCTTCCCGGCCCTGGCGGCCAACCTCCAGGGCTGCACATCTGCCCCGCCCCGCCCCTACCCCGTCCACGCCTGGCCCCGCCCTCACGGCCAGGCCCCGCCCCCGGTGCTAGGCCTGCCCACACACTAGTCCCACCTCCCTCCTGGCCTGGCCCCACCCCACCCCTTCCTCCTTCTCTGATTGCTCACGTCCACTTTGCTAGGCCTCGCTCCTTCCTGCCCGGCCCCGCCCTCCCGCCAGGCCCTCCCGCGGCCTGCTCACCAGCTGAAGCTGAAGCTGAGGCAGCCCAGGTCGGCCACCAGCGCGTGAAGCCGGCGGTAGGAGCCGTCGCGGGCTTTGAAGTAGGTGTTGAGCTTGGTGAACTCCAGCTGCACGTCGCTGATATCGTGCAGGAAGAGCACGAGGATCCCCACGTTGTGGTACCTGGAGGGGTAGGACTGGGGCTGGGGGCTGGGGCTGGGCGGGAGGGGCGTGGCCCGGCGCGGCAGTGGGCGTGGCACGGCATGGTGGTGGGCGTGGCACGGTGGTGGGCGTGGCGCGGCATGGTGATGGGCGGGGCTCAGCGCCGCGGTGGGGGTGTGGCGGGGCATGGCGCAGCATGGTGATGGGCGTGGCGCGGCATGGTGATGGGCGTGGCTCGGCGGGGGTGTGGCCTGGCATGGCGATGGGCGTGGCGCGGCATGGTGATGGGCGGGGCTCAGCGCCGTGGTGGGGGTGTGGCCGGGCATGGTGATGGGCGTGGTGTGGCATGGTGATGGGCGGGGCTCAGCGCCGCGGTGGGGGTGTGGCCCGGCACGGTGATGGGCGTGGCGTGGCGGGGCATGGTGATGGACGGGGCTCAGCGCCGCGGTGGGGGTGTGGCCCGGCACGGTGATGGGCGTGGCGTGGCGTGGTGATGGGCGGGGCTCAGCGCCGTGGTGGGGGTGTGGCCGGGCATGGTGATGGGCGTGGCGTGGCGTGGTGATGGGCGGGGCTCAGCGCCGCGGTGGGGGTGTGGCGGGGCACGGCGCAGCATGGTGATGGGCGTGGCGCGGCATGGTGGGGGCGGGGCTCGGCGGGGGTGTGGCCTGGCATGGCGATGGGCGTGGCGCGGCATGGTGATGGGCGGGGCTCAGCGCCGTGGTGGGGGTGTGGCCGGGCATGGTGATGGGCGTGGCGTGGCATGGTGATGGGCGGGGCTCAGCGCCGCGGTGGGGGTGTGGCCGGGCATGGTGATGGGCGTGGCGTGGCGGGGCATGGTGATGGGCGGGGCTCAGCGCCGCGGTGGGGGTGTGGCCCGGCACGGTGATGGGCGTGGCGCGGTAGTGGGGGGCCCCCATGCCCTGTGCCCCTTGCCCTGTGCCCCCTGGTCCTGTCTCCAGCTAGCCTCTGCCCGCCCCGCAGCTCCCTGGGTCCTGACCCAGGCCCCTCCTCCCCATCCCCGGCCCAGGCTCCCTTCAGGTTTCTCTGCTCTTCAGGTCAGTTCCGTAGTTTCTGCCCCAAACCCCCGGCTCACGACCCTCCCGCTTCCCGTGAATACCAGCACCCCACCCTCACCCCAGCTGCCACGGTCCCTCCCCAGAAAACACCCTGGCATTGGTTCAAAGCCCAGCACCGGTGGCTCAGGCCACTCGGGAGGCTGATGTCTCGGGAGGATCTGGATTCCTAGCCAGCCAGGGCGGGAAAGTCCCCGGGAGACTCTTACCTCCAGGAAAAGTCTGGAGGTGGTGCTGTGGCTCACGCGGCAAAGCGCTACCACTTACCGGAAGGCGTAGGAGGCGACGATGAGGACCAGGGCCACCACGTGGTGGAGCAGCATGACCACCGAGTCCTTGCGCCAGGTGTCCATGTAGAGGGTGGCGTAGATGGAGTGCCCGTAGAAGCTGCCCTGCAGCAGGTAGGCGGCGGCGATGTCCCGTGGGACCGCCATGCCCGGCGTCCAGTCTGCAGAGAGCCGA